TTCTGGATAGGCAGGTGAACTTATGAAATTTGAGTACCAAAAGAAGGTTTCTTCACTGAATAAGCTAAAGAAACGAAATGGCAATTCTGATGCACTAGAGAGAGCAAAAGCGGCAGTAAGTCATCTACATACAAGATACATAGTTGATATGCAATCTATGGACTCAACAGTTTCAGAGATAAACCGTTTACGAGATGAGCAGTTATATCCAAAACTTGTTCAGCTTGTTGACGGGTGAGTTGCACTTAAGGGGAACATAAATGGCACTGAAAATTTTGTCCATTTGACAGTTAACTGGTTGCAGTGTCATTCTCCTTTCTGTGGTTCTATATTTTTTCTTGAGTTACACACCTAAGCTTTTTTGCATTAAGTACCTGATGGTGACATGTAGACAGGTGAACAAGAATTAGAGAATTTGACTGATGGTTAAACAAGTAAAGATGGTAGATTACTGTTTTTTCTTTTTGGAAAGAAAGATCATACATAATTGTTGGAAGGAACCACTTTGTTGGGAACCATTGGAGCAGTGTTATTCCTTTTGGTTTAAATGAATAAATAAATATCACATACTCACGAAGGTTTCTGAGCTTGGGCAGGCATATTGATGTAGGATATATAAGGGACTTCTAGGATAACCTTGTTGGTAGTGCTAGCATTGACATCTTGTTGCTGAATTTAAAAGCTCTCTAGAACATATTTATTTATCGATGGTTCTTCATTTCACATCTATATTCAACCAGAAAAGGAAGAAGAGTAATTATATCTATTTCCGTCCTTTTATTATGTAAATCTTTGATTAGTTGGTGAACTATTCATGCTCATCTGAAATGACTGTAAACTAACATCATCTACAGAAGTTAATAACTGATTACCTAATCTATGGACCAAGTGATCCAGGTAGTTATGGTCTCCATTTCAACTGAAGTTAGCTGCTGAAAAATCCGGATGTTTTCCCTAATCTAGAGCCTTTTTATCTTCTCTACTTACAAAATAATCTGTACCTTAACAAGAGAAAAAAGATCGTTATCCTTTCTCATCGAAGTAGCCAATGCCCCAAACTAGTCCTTGCATTAATTCCTGCAGCTGTGACCAATTCAATTCTCATTTCTTCCCTGCTCCATTCTGTCTTGGTGTCTCATGGTCCCACGAATTCCTACTTACGTTTATTTTTATATAGTCTATTGGTGTTTATTGTTCATTTGTTCCAATGAAGCGTCGCTACTTGGATACAGTAGTCCTTTCAACATATCCACATTAATGTGATTTTGACTTTTAAATTTTTTTTTATTGTATTTGGTTTGAAAATAAAGTTCCTATTTTGTCCATATGGGATATTTTTGGGTGTTTCACTTCCTAAACTGCTCAGGATATTTCCGAACTTTGTTACTATTAAATTATGTTGTATTTTATTTAACCAGATGTATACATAGAGTAAAAAGTAATTTGCTTTATAGTTCTATTTTTCGTTGTCTGTAGTTATGTTACATGATTTAGCTTTTCTGGTATACATTCTGAGTACGCATTTGTTTTTCTCTTTGACACTGACTGTTTAGTTAGATACTGTTGTGTTTACATGAAAGAATAAAAATGAAATATAACTTTTTCCATGATAAGTTACTAAACAAGACATGTATGCATTATTACTAAGAGATGAATTTGCAATCGTAAATAATCAGTATCTGGCTTGCAGGATGGCCACGATGTGGGAAACCATGCAATTTCACCATGAGAGTCAGTCGAAGATTGTAATAGCCCTGAGATCTCTGGACATCTCTCAATCGCCCAAGGAAACAAGCAAGCACCATCATGAACGTACCATACAGCTGTTCTCCATTGTGCATGAGTGGCACGAACAGTTTTCAAAGATTATAAAATGTCAGAAAGATTATGTGAAGGCCCTAAACAGTTGGTTAAAGCTAAATCTCATCCCAATAGAGAGCAACCTGAAGGAGAAGGTTTCTTCACCACCAAGGGTACAAAGTGCTCCAATTCAGATGCTGCTCCTTGCTTGGCACGATTACATTGACAAACTTCCAGATGAGGTTGCAAGAGTTGCTATATTCAACTTTGGTGCCGTAATAGACACTATAATGCAGCAACAGGTTGTGGAAATGGCATTGAAGGAAAAATGTGATGAGACTCGAAAAGAGCTTGCCCGCAAGACCCGGCAATTTGAAGACTGGTATAATAAGTATATGCAGCAGAGAGTGCCTGATGACTTTGATCCAGATAAGCCAGAAGATAATCCTCACAAGGATGTAGTTGCAGAGAAGCAGTTTGTGGTGGACGCATTAAAGAAAAGATTGGAAGAGGAGGAAGAAGCTTACCAGAAACAGTGCCTTCATGTGAGAGAGAAATCTCTGGCGAGCTTGAAAACCCGCTTGCCGGAGCTTTTCAGGGCAATGTCAGGGATTGCTTCTGATTGTTCAAACATGTACAGGCAATTGAGATCTATCTCACAGGCTCATAATCAAAGTGAGAACTCTGAAGATTAATAGTTGGGTGCTTGTAAAATTTACTTACATGTATCATGTAACTCTATAGTGGTCTTTATATGGTACAACCTTTTGAATTGTATATCAGACTGTCATTAATCGATATTTACACGAGTTACAATGTAAAAGGTTTCTTTAATATTTTCAGTACCATGTGCCTTCCGTTGTTCAATAATTCATATTGAAAAGGAGGCTAAAACAAGATTACCAGAATTCCAATCTGTAAAAACAATCTTTTTACCTATTTCATAGCCAACCTCATTAACATTCTGAGAGGTTTCTGCAGATGTCTCAATCAAGAGCATTCGATTTTCTTGTCATGTTTTTAATCAGAGTAGGATAAATTGGAGAAACAGAGTTTTAAATAATTTACTGAATCAATTACTCTAAAAGTTTAAGTTGATATAAAATGGTTTAATTAATTATTTTTATTTTAATATACTCCTCATGCATAAAAGTTGTAGATTCGAAAAGTAAATTAAGCATCAGACTTATCAAATTTTGTTTAAAATTTAAGCTTTTTTAACAATAATTGAACAGTTTAAAATTCAACTATCAAACATCATGTCAGATACTACATTAAATAATTGATTAAATTGAATATCTAAAAATTTTAAGATGATAGAAAATAATTTAATTAATTATTTATGTGATCAAAGAAATCAAGTGCAGGACACATCCACCATCTTGCCTTGTATGATCTTGTTGCTATTTCTAAAGCTGATCAAGCATGGAGTGAAAAAGAAAAAAATTAGTGCAGGTTCCACAAAAAGAAAACAGATTATATATATATATATATATATATATAATATGGATACATGTTATTTTCCGGTCCAAGGAAGAACCCATTTGTGTAAGAAAATAATCCACAAAAAAAGAAAGTAAGATTTCAAACTTTTGTTTTGGTTTGTTTATCCATGAAGCTTCTGACTGGTAGTTTGATTTCTCTGCTCCAGTGGAGATGAAATCCATGATGCTGTTAGGTGGGGTCCACAAACCCCACTTATTTTTGTCGGATAAAACAGTCAAAGGCCATGGCTTTGTTTGGAAAATACAAAAGAAGACCCGGCCTCTTATTGCGTCAACACGTTGTCGTTTCGAAAGCTTATATTTTTACGTTATAATATCCTTACAGAAGATTAAGTTTGATTATTTTTTCACATATTAATTATTCTTTAAATTGTGAATTCTTTGCAAGTCTTTTAATTGCTATCGCTAAAAATAGTTATGTTTAATAATTTATAGAAAAAACTATTAAGGCATGTTATTTTTAAAAAAATTAATAATAAATAACATATAAATTATCAGTGTAAAAATAATTAACACACATATATATATATATATATTTATTCTTTTTTGAGCATTTAAAGCAAAACGAATTGAAGGGAAAAACAACAAACCACCCACTTTCCTCCCACTTACGTACATGCTCTTATATTCTCTGCTTCCATCTACGTACACTTCAATCTTCATGGCTACTTGTAAACCATCCTGCCCCTGCATCTCCCATCATGACCAAGACTACGTCGTTTTGTCCAACTCTCCCCGGAAACGACGTCGCACCGCCTGCTCCATCTCTCTCCTCCTCCTTTCCGGCCTCGTCTACGCTTTTTGGCCGTCAGATCCAACCGTGAAGATCGTACGGTTGCATGTGAAGAACATACAGGTGCGCACGGTTCCAGTGGTGGCCATCGACGTGTCTCTGCTACTCACCTTAAAGGTATCAAACGGCGACGTTTACTCTTTCCACTACACCACTCTTGACGTGGCCGTCGGCTATAGGGGGAAGACACTGGGCCACATACGGTCCCACAACGGCCACGTCAGGGCTTGTGGATCGTCCTACGTGGATGCTGAGCTGGACTTCGACGGTGTGGAGCTGTTTTCTGACGTTGTCTACATGCTTCAGGACTTGGCTAAGGGTTCTGTTCCGTTTGATACCGTTGCAGAGGTTACGGGCCACCTCGGCCTTCTTTTCTTCCACTTCCCTTTGAAGGTAATGTCGTTAAATTTTATATACTATGAAACATAATTATATAATATATATATATATATATTATCACAACAAATAAAAAATCATTTCAAAAAATAAAAAATTAACGTGTGATATTTTCAATATATATAAATATGTAATAGATTATAGTGCATGTGAATTCTTCGAAATTTACATAAAGGGTGGAGATGATTGTTGTATAAATTCAACAGACAAAAGTAGCATGCGAGGTTGTGCTAAATACAATCACTCGAAAAATTCTCCGCCAAAAGTGCCATCAGAATTAGGTGCTCAAGAGGCCCATTGTGAGGACTACCTATTGATAGGTAATGTTGCAGGAAATTGAAGTCTACAATTTTATTTATGAGTACGAATTAATTTTTTAACCCTTTAATTTAATATTACATCTTTTATATATATATATATATATATATATATATATTGAAAACCAGGTTAAAACATAAGTATTTGATAAAACTGAGGTTAGCCCGAAATTGGTAAATGATAAAGAGATAATTTATCAATTTTCTTTGGTCTAAAATTTTATGAAAGTAAATATTTAGACGAGCGGAGGTTATTTTGGTCTAAAGATTTGATTTGATAAGTTTTTATTACCTGTCAAATACTAATAAAAGATTTCATTTGATTTTATTTTAACCTTTTCAGGTGTAGAAAGAATTTTCTTGGGTTATATATCTCTCTCTCTCCCCCAAAGAATGAGCTGGTACATGCCACCAAAGTAAGCCAACAAGAACCCTAGGGAATCTAGAGAAACCTTGGAAGCTAAAGAAACTACAAGTACAATGTTATTTGAATCAAGAAAACCAATTAAACTTAACACTTAAGCTATATGTTGGACTAATTCAAAAATTTTATGGAATATATGTTTGCAGATGTACACATGTAAATTGTGCTAGGACAACAAAAAAAGAATTGACCTAATATTGAATTTTATGTGAAACTAAACAATACATTTCAAATCTCATAAAATAGAAATTTATCATCTTTTAATAGAACTTACAATATCATACTGTTAAATTAAGTGTAAATTAATTTACAACAAATTCTATTAAATTTTTGTAGTCGTAACTTCCCGCCTTTTTCTACTGAGAATGAGTGTTAATACATATATTACGAATTACTATAGCGCAACAATATAACATAATAATCTTATAGATGCCTTGCATATGCAAATTACAAAATCATGAGGCAATGTGCATGCAACATGCACTATGAAAATTACTAAATATACTATATAAGAAAAATTATTTTGGTTGCAAATTAAACAAATGTCCAAATTTGACTCCCTGATTTTTCCGTAATAGGCTAATACCTCTTCATAGTATTTTCCTTAATTTAAAAAATGATTATGGTGAATTTTAATGCGCATTCATTTGCTCAGTAAAAATGTAACAGACTATCATTCACAAACAATCTATCAAATCCACATAAAATAGAAAATACTAACGAGCATATTACTTTTAAGAAAATAACTTTAATTATGACAGCTACTGAACCATGTATAAAAATTCATTCTGATATAAATTCAAATATTCATTCTGATACGATTTCAAAATAGCTTATTTGTACAAAACATTTCCTTCCTATTTCTTATTTCACTTTTCTCACACTTAATTAAAATATATTCAAATTTAACATTTGCACATTTCTTATTAGATTCACACATAATTTGCACATACTTTTTCAGATACACACACATCTTATCATATATATATACACTTTGCACATATAAGATATGATTTACATTTACTTTTCACTATTTCACAAAGGCATATATTACAGTTACGAATTCACATGGACACATACGTTTTCATTTTCCTTTCTTATTATATTTATGTTTATGCCTTTACTTATTACAAAATGTTATTGCATGATGCCGCTTTATCGGTATCAGTGAGGGTAGTAAAGATCTCCTCTACTACATAGATAGTAACACATTTCGCATATTACATCCCCAATGCACCTGGAAATGGAGATAGTTATACATGAGTACCACTTAACACTTTTCACATACACTCGAAAATGGGATGGTTATGTATGGAACTTCCCAGCCACATCTAGTTGAGGCACATCTATCCATGGGTAGGGTTAACCACACTCACTTGCTAAATACAGCTATACACACACACACACACCCCTCCTTGATACATGGCCAGACGAACTTTTAAAATCATTAATAATTTGTATTTCTTTCATTATGTCTTTATTTATTATTAATATTTTATTTATTTTCACTCGTTTTTCTTTTTTATTCTCTTTTCAACCCCAATGCTCACCACATGTTTATTTATTATTACCCATATTTATACATAAACTTGCATATTTATATATGCACATCTTTGCACTTATATACACTAGTTTCCCACACACTAATGTATAGATACATGCAAGTTCATAATTATATACATTATATAATCCTATAGAATCACATACATACATACATACATGTACAATACACGCACTTATACTAATATGAATATGTATGCTAACATACCACACACACCTATACTTAACGCACCATTATACCTACATACACATATAATGATATATATATATTTACCCACAAAACTTAACAATAAAATATTAATTAAAAATTAATATTATATTAAGTAGATAAATCTTCTCTTTTTTACCATTTTTGCCATGTGCTTTTAAACTCCATGTAGACTTCAAATTTATGAAGAATTCTCCTTTGGAAAATCAGCCATAAAAACACATGTAGAAAGAAGATAAAAAAAGAAGAGTCCTCATCGGCATCGACTCCATCCCGCATGCTTCACCCACACAGGTAAATTCTCTTGCATGCATGTAGCTTGTTGAATGTGTGGCATGCCTGTGTGCGCAGCTTGTCTGCGCATGCATGTTATTCATTTTGCACATGCACACATTCAAGCTCTCCCATGCAATTTGTCCACCCGCGCGTGAGGGATTCTCATACCGCATAAGTGTGCTTTCCCACGTGTGAGCAAAGGCTGCCCAAGGTTGTAGGGTAGTCTGGTCAGCCCTCCTTTGGTGCGGCTTACTTAGGCAGTGGGCCTTCATGGTCGTGAGGCTCATTTTTTTATTTGGGCCAAGGCTTGCTCATTTCGTTCCAGGAGAATTCTCAAGTCCATGGGTTCGTTCTTGGGCTTTAACTTCATCTTCTTGTCTTGTGTTGGACTTGCCTTGATAATGCTCCAATTTAAGAAATGGTTTAGGGGTGTGGCTACTTTATTGTTTAGGATAATTCAACTTAGGAAATAAAATATTCCTAAAATTACTTCCCTCCTTGGCGTGGACTTATTGAGATTCTTGACAGGTAATCTCCGTTCGTTGACACTTCCTAGCACGCTCTTGAGATATGCTGCCTTGCGAGCGCTTATGACATTTTACCGCTGCATATCTACGAGTGTTGGGATTACAGAAATATTCTCCTATGTGGAATTTTAAGTTATTATTAGGGTCTTTCTCTTCCATGGCCACATCATCTCCCTTTTTTTCAAATGGATTCGTCCTTGAATCCAAACTTCTAGCAACCACCTCCTGCAAAGACAAGGAAGACAAAGAACATGTTAAGTAATATGTTGTGTACCAAGGTACACCTTGGCATTGTTGCATAAGGTAACACTTCTTTATCTTTATCTAGGCTTTACTTACACGAGAGGGAATGGGAGGATCATTTTAACTCTCAAAACTTCAAGCAACACATGTAATTAGAATATTTAACTACCTAAGTCACCCTCCCTACTTGAATCTGCACCCACCTATATGGTATGTAAAAACAGAATAGTAGGAAAAAAAAAACAAAAGACGCTATGACTTACCAGATAAGTTGATCCGAACTCTTCGATTTAACAAGACTTTTAAAAGCCCCTTATCTTTGAAGAACTTGAAGAACACTCAAGAAAATTAGCTAAACTAATTTTGAGAAAACAAAAACTTCAAAATTTATTAATATGAAAGTTGTTTGTACAACCTATGGATTTAAACCCTTATATAGGCTTTTATTGACTAGTTTGACTCATAGTAGGATTACTAATTCCTATCCAACCTCTTAACCTTAATTTGACTAAAAAACTAATTCAAAAATACTAAAATAATCAAGTCCCTATCTAAACTTAATTAAATAATATGAAATAATTATAATAATTAATAAAATATTTTTTTTTGTATTTATTCATATCTTCAAATAACTTGATCCTCCATGGGCTTCCAATTTGAGTTGAATTTCTCCTCCAATTTGACACTTTAAACACATGGGATAATTTGTAAAAGTCCCTGGCACTTTCGAATCCTTGGAAAACTGGAAAAAACAAGAAAGGAAGTCATAAAGGACTTAGAAACAAGTTGTTGTGTGGGTAGCTTGTTGGGCACGCGCAAGTTGCGTACAAGGGTTGCGCTAGTGGCATTGGCTAGCATGTGTGGGTGAAGTGCCCGTATTTGTGGGTGTTGTGGTTCGCATGTGCAAAAGGCCACACACGTGTACACAATGGGTATCCATACCCAAATCATGTTTTAGGCTTCCTTTTGGGTCGAGATTTATGGGCCGAATCTTTTTTTAGTCGTGAGACCCAATAACTTCCTCATTTGCCATCTTTTCAAATTCCTCTTCTTCTTGGGCTGAGATTTAGATCCATTTAATCCTTTATATTCCTTGATTTACTACCTTGGGCCTATATATAGGTGGATTCATCTTAAGTACTTTCTGTTCAGAAACACTTCCTTGTGTGTTCGAGAAACACACTATTACTTAAACTCTTTCTCCCTCCTACTGTCACAAGAACCTCATGTTGGTCACTAGACTTTTTCTCAGTTATTATCACATCATTTCCTCTCCCTTTCTTCTCTACCAGCAAATTCATCATAGGACTTCTTAAGTTTAAGCTAGTCTTCATGTACTGTCATTCATGATAGTGGAATGAGAACATGGGTTTAAACCGTTTAGATATAGTGAATATTGATTCTTCCCACTATTATGAACAACATTTCTATCATATTGCCATGATCAACCCAATAATATATGTTCAACTTGCATAGGGACCACATCATATAGTACCTCATCTTCGTACTTACCAATTAGAAAATGGGACTCGAACCTGCTTGGTGATCTTGACCTCTTTACTCTAATCTAACTAGTGTAACTTATAGGAATTAGGGTGTTATGTGCATGTTAGACCTATCCTATCCACAACTAGTGTTCTCACTACTTTGGTGCAGCTTCCTCGATCAATGATCACACTCCAAACTTTCCCTTTGAAAAGGCATCTGGAATGAAAGATGTTCTCCCTTTGGTCAGTGCTCTCTAGTTTTACCTGTATATTCAATGCTTGCTAGATGAAACACAACCCTCTTTATTAGTTGGATTATGCTCTCCTCACTAACTCTTACTAAGGGCAGATCTTTGTGTTCATTGTCACTATCATGATCATTAATCACATCCGCATCATCCCATATGATCATCATTCTTTGATTGGCACACTGGGATGTTATATGCCCAATCCTAAAACATCTAAAGCACTTGATAGTGTTTTTCCTTGCAGTAGGTGCCTTAAGATTACCTGACTGGCTAGTGGATAGTGGCATTTCCTTCTTCTTCTCAACCTTCTTGCTCTCATCCCTCATAGGCCATCTAGAGTTATACTAAGGGGTGAAGCTGATAGTTCCTCTAGTTAGCCCTCTAGATTTTTGTTGTCATTCTATTTTAGTGGTCATGTGAACCATATCCTTCAAGTCAATGTAGTGTTATAATT